ACACTACAGGCTCGGTGCCTGTGGCTCAACCGGCTAAGGCACCAGCCACGTACACCTAAGGTGGCGGGTTCGAATCCCCAACCTGGACCCGCCAAACAACAATGACGGCTGCAACCAAAAAACGGCCGGGCGTTGTGGCGGGCGCCTGTGGTCCCAGCTACTTGGGAGGCGGAGGCAGGAGACTCGCTTGAGCCCAGGAGTTGGAGGTTGCTGTGAGCTATAATGCCACGGCACTCTACCCAGGGGGACAGCTTGAGGCTCTGTCTCAAAAAAAAAAAAGAATCACACTACAGATGCCCACAGTTCAGAAGCACAGCCACGACATTTGCAGCAGAGAATAATTCATCTTTCAGACATTAGCTGACAGGGGGCCATCAAGAGGCAACGTGACCAGAACTGGCCATTGTGAACCAGAATTTGTCAGCCCCATGAAGTCATTAGCAGCAGAGATATGCCATAAAATGCAAGTGGTGCTTGTGGGATCAGATATGAGCAAAGCCAAGGCAGGCAGCCCGATCGATGGCCCAGATACCCATGTAATCCACCACTGTCACACCTGTGTCCATGACTTTGTTCACTAACGACCATTTCAGGGAAGGGTCCCTTGTGATCAGCTGACAGAGTAAGAGAGGAACTTAATCTACAGACAGGCAAGGTTAGTATTTGATGAAATGGGTCACTGCTGCATTATTGCCCCACTGGAGGTGGCCCGGAAAAACAGTGCTGAGAGGACATCCGTCCTCCCGGGAGGTAGAGCTGTGGGCAGTCCACCCAGTCATGCACTTGAGGAAAAACCAGATTCACGGGCTGTAGCAAATGTCTGTCTGACTGGCCCTGGGCTGAAAGAAGAAAACCTTAAAGATAGGGGACCCAAAAAATCTGGGAACAGGGCGTGAGTAAGGATCTATGGGTGTGAACATGAAGTGTGAAGGTCTGTGTGTGATACGTTAATGGCCCCCAGAGAACAGCCCCACTGAGGAGGCACCAAACAACTGAACAGAATGATCTGGCCAGCTGGCCAGCCAACCTTGGCCATCACCTACCTCTCCCGAGACTGCAACAGTGAAAACATGAAATTGTGTTCACAGGGGCAAGGATGGAGGTTATGTGTGGGTTCAGCAGCATGGACCCCAACCCGCCAGGCCTCACCTTGCTACCACCACACTGCCTAGTCACTCCTCAACAATGACACCCACCAGCACGACGCCCTGATGTAACAGTCCTCACAGAGACGGCTCAGGGCCAAGCAGGCAGTGTTGGCCTCACTTCACCCTGGAAAGGAGTTACAATTCATCTCGAGTGTAAAAACACTAATTCTGAATGTGAATTTGCTTTTCTTGGATTCTGGGCTTTGCCAATATTCTACTCTTAGCTGGGTGGTTTTCCTCCTTAGCAATCTACATGCAGATAAATCTATTTAATTTTTACAGATCGGGTACTACATGCCAGGCTCTGTGCTCTCTAAGGGGTGATGCAGACAGAACAGGGCTTGCCCTCCATTACTTAGCAGCCGCTGTGTGCTGTGTTGCCCAGTCTGGCCTCAAACTCCTGGGCCTAAGGGATCCTCCC